CGTCTAGAGAAGGCGATGGAGCCATCAAGCCATGTTGGCCATGGCCACCCCCCCATAGAGACCCCACACTATGGTTTCCATAGGGAGATGGAGCCATTGACCGTGGCCACCACCCCATAGAGAGCTTAAGGGGACCTCTTGGCCTCCAATCTATGGCCACCAAAGGGCACACTATGGGCAATGTGGAGCTTCTCCTATGGACCATACAGAGCTTCTTCTATGGGCAATACGGAGCTTCTCCTATGGACCATAAGGAGCTTCTTCTATGGGCAATATGGACCTTCCATGGACAATATGGAGCTTCTCCTATGGACCATATGGAGCTTCTTCTATGGACCATATGGAGCTTCTCCTATGGACTGGACAATATGGACCTTCTCCTATGGGCAACACGGAGCTTCTCCTAACAATAGGAACCTTCTCCTATGGACAATATGGACCTTCTCCTATGGGCAACACGGAGCTTCTCCTACGGGCAACATGGACCTTCTATGGACAATATGGACCTTCTCCTATGGGCAACATGGAGCTTCTCCTATGGGCAACATGGACCTTCTCCTATGGACTCTATGGACCTTCTCCTATGGACTCTATGGAGCTTCTCCTATGGGTAATATGGAGCTTCTTCTATGGACTATATGGAGCTTCTCCTATGGACTCTATGGACCTTCTCCTATGGGCAATATGGAGCTTCTCCTATGGACTCTATGGACCTTCTCCTATAGACTATATAGACCTTCTCCTATGGGCAATATGGACCTTCTCCTATGGACTATATAGACCTTCTCCTATGGGCAATATGGACCTTCTCCTATGGGCAATATGGACCTTCTCCTATGGACTATATAGACCTTCTCCTATGGACAATATGAACCTTCTCCTATGGACAATATGGACCTTCTCCTGTGGGCAATATGGACCTTCTCCTATGGACTATATAGACCTTCTCCTATGGACAATATGAACCTTCTCCTATGGACAATACGGACCTTCTCCTATGGACTATATAGACCTTCTCCTACGGGCAATATGGACCTTCTATGGACAATATGGACCTTCTCCTATGGTCAACATGGAGCTTCTCCTATGGACAATATGGACCTTCTCCTATGGGCAACAATAGTGGTGGCATCTACTTGGGCTTCCATGATGGACCTATGGAAGCGCTGGGTGGTGGCATCTACTTGGAGCTGAAGGCCCATAAGTGAAGGCCAAGCCCACCGAGACGCCCGCGGGGTGGTTGCCCCCCAGAACCCCCGTCCCCAGCGTGGACTCACAGCCACATTCCTGAGCTCTGCTGATGTTCCTCATCTCCCCATCCACTTGGCACGTGTAGATGGCCCCCGAGGCCCACTCGGCTTCGGTGACCACCAAGCGGCTGTTGGTGACCGAGAGGCCTCCACTGGCCAAGGTCTCGGTGATGGCAACGTCTTGGAGGTCGTGGCCATTCTTGAGCCACTGGATGGAAGGACGTTGAGGACCTTGGACGTGGCACAGGATGGTGGCGTTGCGGTAGGGACCTTGGAATTCCTCCCGGGACGGGGGGTACAGGGTGACCGTGGGGCTGACGGGGACATTGGGGGGGGAACCTGTGGGGTGAAGGAGAAGGGAGAGGGATGAAGGACAAGGAGGGAGCAGAGTGGATGGAGAGGGAGGAGGGTGAAGGAGAAGGATGGATGGAGAAGGGGGATGAAGGGGAAAGAAGGATGGAGAAGGATGGAGGATGGAGGATGAAGATGGAGAAGGAAGAAGGACCATGATGGAGAAGGATGAAGGACAAGGATGGAGAAGGAGGAAGGACAAGGAAGGATGGAGAAGGAAGAAGGATGAAGGACAAGGATGGAGAAGGAGGAAGGACAAGGAAGGAGAAGGAGGAAGGACCAGGATGGAGAAGGATGGAGGATGAGGGTAGAGAAGGATGAAGGATCAGGATGAAGGATGAAGGAAGGAGAAGGATGAAGGACAAAGATGGAGAAAGAGAAGGACGAAGAATGAAGGAAGGAGAAGGGAGAAGGATGAAGGATGAAGGACGAAGGACAAAGGATGAAGAAGGATGAAGGATGAAGGAAGGAGAAGGACGAAGGACGAAAGATAAGGGTGGAAGGAGAAGGATGAGGATGGAAGGAGAAGGATGAAGGCAGAAGGATGAGGATGGAAGGATGTGGATGAGGATGAGGATGGAAGGAGAAGGATGAGGATGAAGGATGAAGGCAGAAGGATGAAGGAAGGAGAAGGCAGAAGGATGAGGATGAAGGCAGAAAGATGAGGAAGGAAGGAGGCAGAAGGATGGAGGATGAAGGATGAGGCAGGAGGATGAGGATGAAGAAGGAGGGAGGCAGAAGGATGAGGATGAGGGTGTGAGGATGAGGATGGAGGATGAGGACGAAGGATGAGGATGAGGAAGGAAGGAAGCAGAAGGATGAGGATGAGGATGAAGGAGGCAGAAGGATGAGGATGAAGAATGCAGAAGGATGAGGAAGGAAGGATGCAGAAGGATGAGGATGAGGATGAAGGATGGGGATGAAGGATGCAGAAGGATGAAGGATGAAGGATGAGGATGAAGGATGGGGAGGCAGAAGGATGAGGATGAAGGATGAGGATGAGGATGAAGGATGAAAGATGAAAGATGAA